CATTGGTGGACAGGCAACGAAAATTAATACGCGAAACAACCGGCCTCCTTGCGCACCCCTGCGTGCCGTCGCGCACACGTACTCGTTTCCGCGGTCACGTGTGCGCCGGGCTTCCCCTCCGACCCCCGCGCGGACACATAAGTGCGAGGAGAGGGTTTTGCGGCGGTGTGCGTGAAGATTGATTATACCGCGAGAGAAAATGTGATCAATAGCTCAACAAACAAAGGCCCCTCGGACGCCTGTGTATAATGCAAATAGGAAAAATCACGGTAGAGGGTTGAAGGAGATGATCGACGGTCAAGAAACAATGGCAACGCGCGCCGGCTACTTGGAGCCTCGCTCGACTCGACACCGTCCCCTTTTCTCCAACCTTCTCCCTCCTCCTCTATCCTCTGTCTCTCCCTCCTTTCACTCTCTCTCTCTCTTGCTCTTTCTCTTTCTCGCTCGACTTCTCACCCCTGACGCCTTCGGCTTCGCTTTAATTTGCATACGACCGATCATGTCTTCCGGTCCGGCTCACCTTCGTCCTGACCACCCCCGCCATGCCTTGCGACCATCGATCAAGCCTCGCTTGTTTTTACCCCCCTCTCCCTCGTAATAGCTCTCCCTCCCTCCTCCTCCTTCCATCTCCTTGTCCCACCGGTTAACCCGTGGACATCGGCCGTGCCGCGCACTGCTGCTGATGCCTCGTTGTGTCGTCTCCTCTCGGGCTGAGGATCCCCTTAACGAGGATTGCTCCTTCTATCGATGACATTATTCCAACACGAAGACTTCTGCTGGATGAGTGAAAAGGGGTGGTGGGGGTGGGCCCAGTGTTGCGCTACGGTAAGAAATAATGGGCTGGACGACGGCGTGACGTGATCACGCCCTTCTTTTCGGGATAACGGGGAATAGATGTTACAGATAGCGACAAGAGGCGGTACTTCTTTTTTTTTTTGCATACCGGGTGTCTTGGTTGATTTTGATCGAACTTTGCCAGTGTCTTCTATGGGTATAGGTGAGAGGAAAACTTCGAGCGAACTATGTTCATATTGTCTTGTTTATATCTGTAGAAGATACTGAGAAAGTTTGATCGGAAGCAAATGGAACACCCTGTATATGAGAATGTCGCTGTATCTTGTCTCTTTCTTATGGAACAGTTGTAACTTTCTACGTCCTTCTTTCGAGCGGAGATGTGGAAAGAAGCTGATTTAGAAAAGAACGTGAAAAACGAGGGTAGATTGTTATCGATAGAAAGGAAAGTAGAGGAAAGTGAGGAGAATCATCCCCTCCAGTCTCTCTATCTTGCCTGTTATCAACTCTGATTAATTTCTCGCATGTCTTTTGAAAATTAGATACACCAAAAGTCGTAAGATTCGGTTTGCCCAGTGAACGTATATCTGAAATTTACGACATTGCTTTCCCTGCTGTTTTTTTTTTCTTCTTCTATTTTCATCGGAGGATACGATTCCGTTTTTATTCACCTGGAACCCGTATCTACGCCTCCGAATTCGTATCTTTCATTACCCGCGGTATATCAGCCAGACAGATTGAATGATCCAAAAGCGGGACAAAAAAAAATTTATGATCCCCTGTCCGCGGAACATACCTATTCAGCGGCGTTGCTATAGGCTGACCTGAGATCTGGGGCAAGATCGAAATTCAATATAGAGGAACACGCGGCCTGGCCAATCGAGGACCGTGAATTTTTACGAACGATTCGGACGTATGTGAAACTTAACGAATCTGTGGACGAAACGAAATACATTTGCTTCCGAGCAGCACGAATCGAGCTTTCTTATGCCTCGATAATCTGCCAGTCTTTTAACAACAGGCTGGCTAATCGAATATTTGGTGGATCTGGTAAATTTCTAGCGGTAAGTTTAGCAATTCAACGATCTAATCGAGCCGTCAGCCGGTGCAACTGACTATTTAATAGTGCTAAGTTAATGGTAACAATTTGCTGCTATTTAGGTATTTCTCTACTTTTGTTTTAGCGTTTAAAAATTAACAAAAAAATTGTTTAATTTATCGTTGTAAAAATTAAGGTGAAAGTACGCAAAAGGCAAACGTTAAGGGAATAAATTCACGCCAAAATCGAAGTACCTACAGTCGCCATCACTAGAAAAAAGGGTTAAGAGTATATTATAAAAATTTCTTTTCTCGAAAGTGAAAAATCACCTTTTCATGGATCGCAAAATTCGATTTTCCAAAAAGGAAAGAAACCTCGAATACCCGCGTATACAACGAGAAACCCTCGTTTCCGCAATTGCATTTCCCGCGTTAGGGTGACGAAGAAGGGAACGATGGAGAGCAGAGGGAAGAAAAAGCGTGGCTGGTTTGTTTGTTAAACACCGTTGAAACAAAAACAGGAGAAAAAGGAAAGAGAGTGGCACGGCTTCGATTTTCGTTCCTTTTTCATTATCCGTAGCTCATTCCATCGGCTAGACCTGTCGATGCATGCCGGAGGCGTGAATTCCACGAAATTGAAGCTGTGCTTCTCAATTAACCCCCGGAAAAGGGATGATGCATCACCGGGGAAAAACAATTGATACAATCTCGTTCGCATCGTCCGTTGCACCGTGCAAAACGCATTCAGGTTTAAAATCGTCCCCCTCTCGCCTGCTGCCGACTCTTTCCACCTCTGGGCTACCCTTTGCACACCCTCGCAAACAGATATTTTCGTCGCGCGTAGCCAGTCGCGTAACACGTGGCTGGGTTCCGATTCGAAACTTTTGAGCGCCCGCGATTCATCGCGATTGATTGCGTCACGATTCCCCCACGATTGCCCCGTTCATTCCATGAACCACCCCCTCCCGACATCCACCTTTCCAAGGAATCAAAAGTATTGCGATTATTGTTAAGGGGGAATATATCAGCTCTTTCTTATTGTCTCATCGAATTTCTGCTGGTGTGACAATACCATTTCTCGCTGCATTATTTTTATCGCGACTAGGAAAAATTGCAAATGTGACAGGATGTTTCGGAAATGAAAAACGAAAGCCTTTGTCATTTTTTAATGCGTAAAGTAATTGTTTTAGAAACACACTCTGAATGAAAAGTTATTCTAATGAAAGAGACTGTTACATGCGTGATCGTAAAATTAGTGAAGTGTATGTAAATTGTAAAAAATTGATTTGATTGGGAAAAGCTACAAATAAATTTTACTCCAAGTATTTGTCTCTTATTGACGCAGCTTCGAAGATATTCAAAGTGGCAATTTTTATCGGCCTACCTTGTATATCGATACTGTCACGTTGCACTCTTTTACGCTTTTTCTATGGTAAATAATGGCAGTTACCAATACGCGTTGAATAAGATTATCGCATTGAAATGCAAAATTACTTCGTACAGACGTAGTATCGATATTTGAACGGATATTTATGTAATTGTTTCTCGTTATCTGTGATGTGTCAGCACTTTCTAGTTCTCTTGCAGTGTGATGTATTCTTTTGTCTCGAGGTTCACGTTTCATCGTCGTTTGCAAAATTTCACGATTCTCAAGTTGCATGTTTTCTTTCGTTAAGCCAGTCGAAACACAGTAACGATGATTCGTAACATTTATATCGAAATTCGATGAGAACACATCTTCGTCGAGACGTTGTGAAATATACCAAGATCGACGTTTCGTGAAACGCGAGCCTGAATCGATGTTCCTCGAAGCGTTTCTCAGATACATTTTCTAGCGGAGCAAAGAAATTCATTTTCCGTCATTTCTTGACGACTGATCGGTCGATAACAATTGTTACAAATAATTACATATTCTAGTAGTAACGTACGGCTACTCTGAAAAATATTCCGACACCAAGGAAACAATCGTTGAACACGGCACAGGTAAAAATATTTAAGATATTATATGAATATTTCAAATATTGATTTTTGTTAAAGGATCGAATATTTGTGTAACAGATAATTTCGTATACGAAAATGCGTTGAACTAACAATACGTAATCCTAAAGTACAATAAATGACGTTTCGTGACTAAAAAACGTCAACCTAATCTTTTTACAATTAACCGAAATATATCAGTAAAATATAGAATATATTTGGGAGTAACTGTAACTAAATTCATCCTATCACGTTGTTCTTCTAACATTTTTATCCAATTTCTTCAATTTTTTTAATTTTATCGGATTTAATCTTTTTTTACTAATGTCCATCTCTAAACCTCTTCCCTGATTTCCTCCCTTTTAGCCTCTCTCTCTCTCTCTCTCTCTTCCTCTTCCCCTTTGTTTCTCTACCTGATCTGCTATTCATGTTCCTTTTTGCCCCTGTCTCTCTCTCCACACCGTCCTTTTTCTTTCTCTCCCGCTCGTTGCACCCTTTCTTCCTGATCGCATTTTCCAACACGTATTCATTGTACCTATTCACACGTACCCGAAGGTAGATGGGACTCGAATTCTCATGCAATTGATTACTTTCCAAGAGGCGGAATAATAATGCTTTCGTTATTGATGTGCTACTCGACTACCCACCTAGATCAGCCTATTATTTTCGGATTAACTGATATATTCTCATAGACTGGCGAAACTGATGAGCTTAGTGCATAAATAACTATTAGAAATTTTGTGTGTTCACGACGAATGTTCGTCATTTTTTCGTCTTCGAGTTAATCGATGGTTTTATCCTTTTCGTACCTCCACTGAACACTTTTAGGAGAGTGCAATCTTTTTATTTCAGATTTTGCCTCTTCTGAGAAAATTTTAATGAATACTCGAAGAAAATCTGCCATTTGAATATATTTCATAACATAAACTAGTCAGCTTATAAAAATCCATATGTATCCTACAATTTCGATTTTTTTTTAAATATAGCAGTTTAGAAAAAAGCAAGATAACATTGGCTGTTCATCTTAGTATTGACAAAGTGAAATTTTCATAAGACTTTTTTCAACAAGCTCTCAGAAATGTCTCAACTGTGATATTATACCTGTATCGTCTGAGAATATTGTACTCATTTTCATTTGTAAACGAAGAAAATGAAATAAACTGATTGACGAAAAACGAAAACTATGCTTTCAGATCAGTCAGCTGGTCGAGGAAGTGTCCAGGTTACAGCAGAGCCTGCAGCGTCTCCAAGAAACGAGTGCACAGGCGACGGCGCGGCTCGAGGAAGAACTGGAGGCTCGCAGACAGCACATCAGCAGACTGGAGAGCAAACTGGAGCGACAGAGGGACTACGACGACCTGAAACGCGAGATTAACGCGCTAAGGTCGGTCGATCTCTCTCAAATACCAACCGGTGAACCTGGCAAGAGCTTGGAGCACCTTCTAATGGAACGGTCTAAGGCGCTTCAGCAGACCGAGGTCTTGAAGCCATCCAACACACCGGACGCGCTCGGTAAGTCCAAGCAAATCACTTATTCCGTACGCCGTTACGTTACCTCGTATTAATAACTGATCAATTTCATCGACTCGCTTCTCTTCGTAAACAATCATTTCCAAGATCAAAAAAAAAAAAAAAAGGAATACAGGGTAAAGATATATTTTCTGTTAGGCGTGTGATTCGAATGATTCTCGAACAAGTTGTTGCCACTTTAGGTCAGGAATTAGCTAGACACGACACTTTCCAGTGTGGAATCATTTATCTAGCAAAAACTAACTTAATAATTCCTGCGCTAAAGTAGTTCTGGTCTTTGATTTCCGACTCTCTCTCTCTTCGAGGCTACGTCGAAGGGGGCTCAGTATCGTGTAACAATGTTAAAAAAGGGACACGAGTCACGCAACGCGGACGCTTCTGTAAAGAACGAGGGATGACTGAAGGAGCTTACCGAGAGAAAAGGAACAACAGAATAACTCTTGCTTGCCATTGTGTTCGCACTTCTCTTTTTAACTCTCTCTCTCTCTCTCTCTCTCTCTCTCTCTCTCTCTCCCAGTTCTATCCCTCTCTGTGTTTCTCCCAATCTCTCATTAACTCGTTACTCTGTTATTCTATTTATTACGGTTCTGTTACTCCTTTCTTTGTTGCTACACCGCTTTTGTCTTTTCTTCTTCTGTCTCTATTTCTCTTTTTTCTTGTTGTTCCCTTCGTCTATTTCTCCGAGGATCCTTTACCGCTTAGATTGCACATTTTTCGAGCTACTCTCTCGCTGTGGCGCGTGAATCAACGTGCCAACGTTGTAGATGGTACTAACATTACCCCGAAACATCCGCACAATATATATATATATATATGTATATATGTATACGTACGTACATGTACGTATATGTATGTATATGTATATATATCCCAAAAACACCCGGGTTTCCTTACCAAACATCACGGACACTCTGATCATCCCTTAGTCCAGCTCACGTCGCCCGGAGCCTGAAGCTACGAGCATCTGCACACTGGGAAACGCAAACCCTGTACACGCAAATTTGTGAATATTTGCTCGGGTTGAAAGCGCTGTTTCGTGGACTTGTATAGAGCACACACTTTATTATACGAATCGATCAGAAATGACAAAGAATGACAGAGCGAGAGAGAAGCCACGTGATCACAACAGAGAAGGGGAAGCCTGTGACGGGGCGTCATTTCCAACTTACGCAGACACTTGTTTTTACCTTACCCCTTTTGGTTCATCCTTCGCGACTTCGAAACGAACCTTCCTTCCTCCGTGGAAAACAAAAAAAAAAAAAAAATACAAACAAAAACTGTACAAAACATTCCAAAATTCGTTTCGTGAAAATCCGATCGCAAGACAAGAACTGGAAGGAGGACTCTCCTTTCGACAAGTTCACGAGGGACACTGAACCCAAAATCCGACTGACACGCGACACTTTTCCTCTCGTTGGGCCACGTTGTTCCTCGTTTGTGTATATGTGTGTGTGTATATGTTCTACTACGGTCACGGATCACGCGACGTAAGCGTTCGAAAAAGAGAGTCTCGGTCGTCGTGGTGGTCTTCGTCGTCGTCGTCGTCGTCTGTCTATATCGTCCAGGATGCCACCGGAAGAAACTCTTAGGATACCTAAAAGGCTGTGTCACACGACAGACGACACGAAACAAAAAGAAACAAAAAGACCACAGGCTGATCAAGTTTGTAGGTTGACTGTGATCATGCGTGTGTGAGCTCGTGTTTACGCGGTCCCTTGTGTTTTTGGTGGTTGCAGGTGGATTATCGTCACCCCTGCAGCGCGCCTCTACCGCCTCGCCCCACGGGGTCGGGGGTGTGCCGCCTTCGTCCCACGTGTCCTCCCAGCAACCACCGCCGCCGCCCCCAGCAGCAGTCTCCCTTCCTCCGCGTTCCACACCGACACCTTCTTCAGCCACCTCAACCACCTCTAGCCTTCTCTTCCCACCTCCTCTCCAAAACGTCGAGACATTCGGCTCCTTCCTCGGCGAAGAGATCGTCGCTAACTGGAGGCGGACATTGGAGAGGTCCATCATGAATCAACAACAGCAGCAGCAACAACAACAACAGCAGCAGCAGCAGCAACAACAACAGCAACAACAGTCAACTGCGCTGAGTCAGTTGTCGCAACAACAACAGCAACAGTTGCAGCAAGTTCAACCACTGATCGGTTTACATCCACCTACCAGTACCAGTAATTTAAATCATCTTCCATCACCAACGGACCCATCGTCCAGCTCCAACACGCCAGCCAAGTCGAACACACCGTTAGGAACCACTCCACTGAGTTGCCTTGATGCCGAGAAGGCTCCGACACCAGTGTCCGGTCACGAAACGCCCGCACCGCCCACGCCATCTTCCACCACCGCGTTAACGTCACCGCCAAGCTTTCAGCCACCCTCGACAATGATCGAGACAACCACATCCTCAGCTTCCGTGAACGGTGGAAGTTTGACACCCGCTGTACCAGCAGCACCTCCGCCGAAAAGTCCCGCGGACCAAGAATCCTGTCACAATAACAACAACAGCCATCATCTGGCCAACAACAATATCGGAAGTCTGAGTGTGCTGGACACGCTTAAGAGTCCGTTTCGTTTCGACGAGAGAACGCATCCGTTTCGATTCAGCGACGAGTTCGGTGCAGCTGGAATGGCCGGTAGGCTTGGTGAATCGCTGATACCGAAAGGTGACCCTATGGAAGCGAGGTTACAAGAGATGCTACGGTACAACATGGACAAGTACGCTTCGCAGAATCTGGACACCCTGCACATAGCCAGGAGGGTCAGGGAGTTGCTGTCGATACACAACATCGGTCAAAGGTTGTTCGCCAAGTACGTCCTCGGGCTGAGCCAAGGAACCGTCAGCGAGTTGCTAAGCAAACCGAAGCCATGGGACAAGCTGACTGAAAAAGGCCGCGACAGCTACAGGAAGATGCACGGTTGGGCTTGCGACGAAAATGCTGTTATGCTGCTAAAGTCCCTGATACCCAAGAAAGGTGAGTACGATTAGTTTCCTGCACTCTCTCTCTTCTCTTTCTCTTCTCTCTTCTCTCTCTCTCTCTTCTCTCTTTTCTCTCTCTCTCTCTCTCTCTCTCTCTCTCTTTCTCCAGTTTACTCGCCGTTTTCGACCTACATGTCATTTCTTTGGAAAACAAACGGCGAGGATGAAACGTTTATCAGAGATTTGATCTCGAATTACATACCGCTACCAGGTTTATCGTTGCCCACTGGACACGAGTACTTTCACCTTCGTTTTTTTCTTTCATTCTTGGGAACAGTTCGATCATCAACATGTTTGGTAACAGGATGGATTAATTTAATTAAGACGTGCTCGGTTGTTGTGAATTTATTTATCAGATGTTCGTTTTGTTGCCTGACCTATTGATGATTTCACTGAGGATTGATAATGGCTCGTTTCAGCTTGGCAGCTGGACGATTCACCGTTTTCACTCCTACGAAGTCTTTTCTGCCTCGCACTGCCAATAATCTGTTCTGCCGAAACCACTAACCAATCAGCTGTCAGTTAACTATTTTTTTTTTTTTTCGGCTGTCTAATAACGGGTGTTAATGGTGTCTCTATTTGGTCTAACTTCACCATTAGAGAATGGAAACGTGTAACCCTCGAAACAGAGCTCGCATCCCTCTATATGAAAGCTGGCAAATGAATTGTTTGAGAGGTAGCCATGCGTTGGTGACATCGTGAGCTTTCCTTGGTCTATTCGAAGGATATAAGCGTTTTAGAGATTTTTATTTTTCGTTTTTCATTTTGAGTAGCGTTAAGAACACTGGACTCTATTTTTTTTTTTAGGTCATTTCATTCATCCGATATAATATGCAATGGCGGCTGTATAATTTGTGTGCAAGTTGTTGTCTCAACTTTCTTCCAATTTTACTGTTATTTTGTTTTTTTTTTTCAAGAAATTTATCAATCAGCTCTTCTGAGAAATTTGGTAAACAGGGGAAGATTTGGTTTGGATGTAATACAACGTGCAACTAAATCGGCATAACAAACAAATAAACGAAATTAAAAAAATGAATTAAAATTATGAAACTTCTAAACAAATTATAAAAAAAAAACTCGTGTTATTGAGGTCTTCTCACGATTTTCAGCATAAATGGAACAAAATAATTGAAAATAATTGTAAACATTCAGTACTGTTGAAATTATAATCATTTCGATGATGTACGACCCTGTTCACGATTATTAACACACTTGCAGAATATAAAGCAACGTTAACGAGGCATTAAAACGTTATTAAGATCCTGAAAACAATTATTCCATTTGGAATCTCGTAATATATGGAGTATAAATATTTTTATCCATATATTACACTAATTTTAGCGAAGAAATGCAATTTAAATCGTATAATAGTTTCTGTACGTGCATAATAGGTGTCCTAATATTTACGAACGGGAGCATATATATTAAAATTTCAACTTTATTTCGTTAACTAACGGTAAAGTTTCTATTTATTCTTCGAAAATACTTCTATCGGGGAATATTGTTTAAAATAGTAGTTAGGTATTAAAATTCAGGAATTCCAGGCATTTACACGTTATAGAGAGCTGTGCAACAGGCTGCTTCGCTTCTGCGGAGCACCACGTGCCGACGCTACATTCTGATAGACCTTCCTCACTCTAATAGTCATGCAACAGACTATAAGATACCATAAATAATAGATAGAGCAAGAATATTTTTCTAACAATACGTAGTATATCTACGAAAAAGAACAAATTCTAATTTAATTCAAAAGCCTGGTTAATATACCAATGATGATGATGATTGTATTATTAAGAAATGATTAACTTTAAAACAATTCACTCCCAAATTGGACTGATTGTACGTAATTAAGACATTCTCTGCTGAAAGTTGCAGTGTAATGTTGGAATGTTCGTTAGTACACCTATCGTGGTTCGAAAATGAGGGAATAATTTCATTAGCTGAAATCTAATTGTTGAAGAATTCTTCCATTGATATCAAGCCTTACGAATTATTCCAGTCGACCAGATATTTTTTAGTTCACCGCAGTTTTTATATCGAATTTTATTGTGTCACTGTTTCAGTCAACCCTTTCGTTGGCTGTTCGCGGCCTGTAGGCGGTTTGAAAATTTTCTTGCACCTTTTCCTACACCTCCAAAGTTAATTAAACTGAAGATTCTCACGTTTGAACATCTGCCGGGTGTCACGTGCTGAAATCTGCGGCAGCGCAAAGGTTAATCGTAGCAATTAAATTAATTAAGTAGGTGAAATTAAAGATGAATTTTCAATTAATCGTACCACGAATGATATACTTACATCCTTTCACTGCTAACTTCTACACTATCGACCAAAAGTTTAGGACCACTGTGCATCACAAGTTGCAGAAAAAAGTTAGTAATTTTAAGAATTTCTTGTCACTCGAATCAATCGAAATGAAGTATCTTGCAATGCTAATTTCAAATTTTTAAAGGAATTAGTAAGAGATTTATTATTGATGTACTGTGCAGAGCTGGAAAGAAGTCCCGCGTAAGGAATGCAAGTTTGATTGGGTCATATCCCCGTAAGCTCAGCTTCTCTGACACAATTATTGTGTCTGGATACACTTGTTGTCATTATTGGCTGATAACATCGACGAATCGGATCGTACAAAATTGGGAGAGCCAGACTCATCGTGACTTATCTTCTTTCCAGCTCTGCACAGTAAATTGCCAGGCAGTCTGAAACTTTTGTCCGGGTAGTGTAAGTACAATTGTTGCAAGTTGTCTGAATAAAGAATAAAACGAAACAATCGTTGAGTGTTAGACAATAATTGATAAGGTGATAAGAGATGGGCGCAGGTGTAACGCATAGCACAGTTCGAAGATGACGTTCGATTCTCCTGTTTAATAGTCTTAATTAAATTACACAGCCAGTTGCCGCACTGTGCCCGCTATCGATTGTTTGCTGCGTTTGGCAGCCATATTGTTTAGACTAATAGCTCTTGGGAGTAGGAAACTGGGGATGACTTCTAGGCAAGGGTGCCATACATAAAGGGTTCCAGGAGAGAAAAGGGGATGAGAGAGGGGGACGAAAGGAAACAGGGTCCAAGAGAGAGCACAGACGTTCTAAATCCGGCTGCATTTATCGCAAAAGGTAATTTACACTTTCGTCAGATTGCTAAGGGATCGCAAAATTGGTCCTGGACGCGTTCGAACTTAACCGACTCCACAGCGAACAGTCTCGCTATCGTTGATAGAGGCAAAACGACGAATTCGTATATTTCGAATGATTCGAGGTTAAATTTCATGTTTTTGTTTTTTTTTCGTACGTTTTTGAGAAAATTTGAAATTCATTTTCTCACGAGCTACACTCTCGTTCATAAGTATTAGGACACTTACCGAACGTGAAGTCGTTAGACGTCATCGACGACGTCGATTCGTTCCCTGTTTTCTGCAAATATTATTTTATGTTGATGAAATAAAGTAGTAAATACACAGGGGGGTATAAAGGTGTCTCTACATGGAAAAGTCGAATAAAGAATGTGGAATAATGGAGTTCGAAAGAAAATCGAATCGAGTTTCTATACCTTTCACGTTATTAATGCTCGCAACGTAAGAATAATCATTTCCCTCGGTTGTACAGGTAAAAGTAGTTACCTGGGTTTCTCTGAAATTCTTTTTGCAACGTTTATATCTGCAGGCCAATGAAATTCGTCTGTGAAAGTCGATTTTCTCGAAAACCAAGAAAATCGTATTTATTTACAAAAATCAATCACCTGAGTTTACCTGAAATTTACAAATTTTCTACAATGAAATTCGTCTGTGAAAATCGATTTTCTGGGAAACGAAGAAAAATCTTGTTTATTTAGGAAAATTTGATTCATAAACGAAGAAAATCGAGAAAATCTTATTCCACCTTCTCGATTTAGTTTTCCTTCGCGTGGAATCCGGTTACAGGACACTCTATATAAAATATACGGTAATTCATGGCCGGCAGCCATAAGGGAAGGGAGAAGAGGTCGACAACGCAGACGTCGTGCATCAATGGATTGTCGGTTTCCGTCGGATCACCGACAACGATAATCATGTGCATTGCGCGGGAAAAAAAAAAGAGAAAAGGATTGCAGTGCGAGGAGAGGGACGGTGGGAGGGACGATTGGGAAGAGGGAGGGAAGAAACGATGCAAAAAAACATGGGGACTCGTGACGTTCCTCTTTATACGCTGCCTGCAAAAATTATTTTTCATCGTGTCTTCAACTTCTGTGGGAAAAATTATTTCCTCAAATTGGAAAAATCGTGTATCCTTCTCGCGGGACTTTGTCGCTTTTATGTCGTAATTAAAAAAAGTTCCTTATAATTCGACAAATTTCTGAAAGAATGAAGTTTATTGGAACTTTTTTTTTTTTGCACAGAACAGTAATCATTTCCCAAAGCTTAAAATTTTTCGAAGAAATCGACGAATGAAAAATTCACTTCAGTTCAAAATTTTTCCAAGTCGGTTATGCCACTGTACCTTAACAAATTTGAATATCTCCTTAAGATGCTTGTGTTTCTATTGAAGAAAGTGAAAAGTGTATTTATTTTGAAATATTAAACATACCGATGTTCGTTCAGTCTTTCATCTTTTTTTAAGAATTCTCCAATATCAGATATCTATCAATTTTCGAGTGAAGATAACCTCGTAACGATGAACAACTGTTGCGCAAAATATGTAATTGATAATTCGTGAGAAAAGGCTGATATTGTGAAAAATAAAGAAAAGATCCATGATCGATTCTTCGTTGAAATTCACGTGGAATTTGATAAACATCAATTGGAAGAAGGGATTAATTAGGGACTCGTTAAACCCAATAAAAGCGGTTACTTCCGGTAGCTTGCAGCCGCGCAGACTAATTGCCGTCAATATTAAAAAATTGTAACGTCATCGTTGCTTCGGCGGACGTTTTAATCGGTAATTATTGCACCAAGTTCTTGTTCACGGTTGCAACGAGCTCTTTGTGCCACGAACGAGTCGTTAGTCGCTCCCCAAATGAATAAA